ACCACCGAGATCTACACTCTTTCCCTACACGACGCTCTTCCGATCTTCCTGGCTCTGTCCTGCCAACAGGCCCAGATGGCAGATGATGCGCAAGTCTGCCATGACTGTGAGCTAAATCACGTTCAAGTCCCTGCCTGTGCACAGCCTGGGCATCCCTACTCGCCACGCTCGACTTGCATACATGCTGCCAATCAACGACCAGGATGTGAAAACTGTACAGTGCCGCTGTAGTGACTAGCTCGAGTCGAAGTGCACTTGCCAACGCTCATGGCTGCTGATGTCGGCCTCTGTAACAGCCAATTATAGATACCACAGAGTCTGCCTCGCCCGGCGGCGAATAACACGCGTAGGTCCGTTCAGTCCGTCTGGCCAATAACCTTCAAGGCCGACCCACACAAAGACCACGCTCTGTGGCCGCTGGGATGAATGTCATCAAACCCGCACCTAGAACCGCCTTGCCCCGTGGCTGGACGTGGGGTCCGATAGCCAAACGCCTTCCTACCTATTCTCCACTTTCTTCTGTACAGAATAAACTATTCCTTCCACTGTGGCTTCCCATGACGTCTCTTCACCCGAGGAACCGGGCCTGCAGATCACTAGGGTTTAATTTATTTAACTGCCTGCGACACCACAGCCTCGGGGCAGTGACATCAGCCAAGATATTACGATCATTTTTAATATTAACATAATCAGCATCATTGATCATTAAAGTACAATTGGACTGTGTTGCCTCGGGGTCCAGTAAGCTAAAAAGAGCGCAGAAGTAAATCCTGCTCCATTCAACAAAGCCGTGCGTATGTGTGTGTCAACCGAGGTCAGAAAGTGGGGGGAAGACGGGGCGAAGGGATCCATAAAGTGGGGGTATGGTTCGAGTGCAAAACGCCGGTGTGCAAATTCATATAGATACACCAAATGACCTCGTTTCCGAAGTCATAAATGCCGGGAAGTATGTGATTTGAAAACACACGTGTGTCATCAGTTAAGACAGAGCGCAGTGAGATGAAGAAGAACAAGAAACACAAGGTGAGAACGGGGGGGAGGGAAGGCGCAACAAGAGGAGAGCACGTGAGAGACGACATGTGGGAGCTAAGTCAGGCGACGATAGTAAATACAGAGGTAGAGTGAAAGTACGGGAAAACCTAGCTAGACATTTTGCAGAGAAGAGGGGCGCAGGAGGAGGAGAAAGACGGGTGCAGGCCTGAGTTGAAACTGACGGAGACTTACGAACGAACCGCCAGGATGTTCTTGTGATAGAGTAACACATAGGCGTCAGTTGTGAGTACGTAGTCCACGCTGACGGGGACGATCTTCTGATCATCACAGAGACACCAACAGCCTGGTCCGAACCGGATGCAGGCTGTGTAGTGACCGGAATTCGTCTGACCACTGTGATTCAGGACAGCATAAAGGGAGTACCTGCAGGCGGACACGATAAATGAAACAATGAAACTCTGCATCAGCCAGAGAATTCTTAAAAAGAAGAGATGCACTCACACAAAAACCTTTTAGGGTTTATCAGTACTGGGCTGACCAGAGGAGTACAGAATGTCTAGGAAGTCATGCAACTAATTTGCAACGAATTCGCGAAAATTCCCATTGAAAATGACAGAAGATACATTGGCGAACGCAGGTTTGTTTTCGATAAATTTTCGTCATCAGGCCTTTACATTT